ATGTTTTAAACAATATCACAACTTTTCAGTGTGATGGACTTGAAAAGACTGATTCCCACTTTCAGAATAGCCTGCTTTGATTCACTGGGTGTACCTTGACCCAGCTGCCTCTTATACAAGAAGGAAGAGGCTTTGGGTCAGGAGGGGAGGAAGCACATTGAAGCCCCTGCTAGGGACACAGTCAGGAAATGAATTGCTGACAAGCATTTAAAAGAAAACCCTCACACATCAAAATGTTCATGCATTAATTTGTGGTCCACAGGTGATCAAGACTACCATGCCGGTCAGCTCTTCTGTTTCAACGTTAGTAATGTGAGAGAATGCAACAAACAGCATATGCAGAAGGTGAACAGATTGTGTATGAAATAGAGCAAATGCAGCTAATCTGCATATGCAACTAGGATTTTGAGATCATGGACAAGGTTGGAATCAAATTGAAGAGACATGTTTTGTCATCTTTACCAAACACATTTTAAAAAGGAAGCTAAAGTATTGTTGATGATTTTCTAGAACTCATAATTTTTTTAAAAATCCATCTTAGGTACTATTTAAATCTTTCCTTTCACCCATCCCTCCCCCAGAGCACAGCTGTATATGAAAAGGGAAAGATTATTATAATACATTTTTAGTATACTTTAGTATAACTTAGTGTTTTACCAGCTTGAACTATCAGTCTGGAATTTCACTTGTTACAAAGAGAGTGTATATATAATTCTACTGCATAGTTGAAAGATAGAACTATTATTATACTAAACATTATTGTTTATGACAAGTTTCAAGTGCTGTTAGACTAGGATTAACAGTGGAGGAACAAAACGTGCAAACAGAGATCAGGTCAGAGATGACATAGTTGTTATTACCAGTCATCTACTTAAGCACCAAACTCTGCTGTTTGGGAACAACATTATCATCATGTAAAATGTAAAAGGAGTTCATTGAATTTATTTTTGGAGACCCCCTTAGATGTTTGAACACCTTAGAAGATTAGTTTAAATCCCTTACCTAATACAATAAAAAATATGTGTGTTAAAATAAGAAGAATAATCTTATACTATACAACAAAGAGACTGAGAGCAAACTTTATAGAACTATTTTTCAAAGAGACATTAGAAGAGTGAACAGTACATGTTGAATATTAGGAGACATATTTTAATGATAAAAGCAATTACCCAGCTCTCCCGACCCAAAGGCAGCAGTGCACAATAATCTGTTGAGATGTTCCAATTTGGATTTCTTTCTGCATCAAGCAAAGGATTAGACTAGTTGGTTTGCAAGAATTTCTCCATCTTTAATATTCATCATGCTATCCCCTTTCATGGTAAGCAAATTATACAGAACATTAGCCAAAGAAATTAAAGACTTGAAATAAGAAAAAGAAAAAAAAAGAAACAAAGCTAAAAACCAATTCACATCAATGTAATTTACTATACTTCTCTATATCTTTCTATCCCTATAAACCACCCTTGCTTCCCCATCATGTTGATACACAGTTTTATGCACTGCCTTTTGTACATTAATCCTCCTCCTCCTCCTCCTCTTTTCAACTCAATCTTGATTCCTGGCAATATTTTCACAACTGCCATTGCCTCCTTCATAGGGCTGAGAGAGAGTGATTGGCCCAAAGTCACCCAGCTGGCTTCATGCCTAAAGCAGGACCAGAACTCACAATCTCCCAGTTTTTAGTCTGGTACCTTTAACCATTATATCAGCCTAGCTCTCTTAAGCTTCTTACGTCCCTCTTTTTCATGACCTGAACATCTCCATTCCAACATTACTTTCTTTTCCCTTCTTCTCAACTCAT